AAACGTCCAGCTATCCGGGTTTTGTGTTGTTCATTGCTGATTGAACGTCTATTTTTACTATTTATGGACAGGACTCAATGGTCTTCGTTGTTGTGGTCTCTAATTTTACTACCTTTTATCTTTTTATGTATTATTGTCGTATAACAGATCTTAAGCCGTTTAATTACGAAACTATCTGCAATATATTTAATAGTCCTAAACATGCATGACAAATTTGACACTAGACGTTACGCAAACAAAAATCAATACACCAATGTATCTAAAGTCACAATTGATACAACTTTATGTAAAAATGAGGAGATGTGGTATGATTGCTAATAAGGCAACTATCCACCAAAGTTCAAATGAAGTGGATGTAAGCAATTATAGGCAACCGTACGGCCTTCAACAATGAGAAAAACCCATACCGTATAGTCGGCTACAACAGTCCCCGACATGAAAAATATGAAACAATTCAATTGAGAAAACCAACGGCCTAATCTACAACAAAACAATTAACGAAAAACAGATTTTCTGCTCTTTGGTCGGGTTGTTGTCTCTTTGATACATTCCCCGTTTCAATTCTCAATTTTATTATTGATATAACTGCATATAAAAATAAGAATATGTGGTGTGATAGACAATCAGACAAATCCCTTCCAGTGGTTAACAGACGTTAGCAATATAGGTCACCGTACCACCTTCAACAATAAGCAAAACACACACTGTATAGCATGAAAGCTTAAAATGGCCTTGTCATGACAAACACGAAAGTTGAGTGGATGCAGAACAGAGCGAGTGAAAAAACACGGATACCGCATGGAAACTGGCAAATGGTCCGCAATGTTACTTTGGTCAACTCACTAACTTGAAATTAAAGACCTTGCGAATTTAAGTCCTTATCTATGACTGAGATATATGTTTAAAAAAAAGTAACATCAAGGTTTGTTTGGACATTTCTATAATGCAAATCTTGGTTTTAAATTATTTGCGAGTAAGCTTAAGGAGTCAATAACAAATAATCACTCCCAGAAAGACGGGAAAATCCATTAACAAAAGAATAAATGAATATACGAACTACAGTGCACAGTATATTATATACATATTTTATTTGCGATCATAAAATGTACCAAGTCGTCCATTACTATGTAAATTGGGTCGATTAAAAAAAGAAGCTGAATATGTTTCTGTTGCCAAGGGTTCTAAGTATAGTAGTTAGCAGAAAAGTTCACCAAACTATACATTGTACCTATTCAAAAACGTAAATGCAAATTTCACAAGGCTTGAACCAAATAGCTTTTTTACTGTCTAATAACTTGCAAGTACGAAAAAGACAGGACAGAAGTATATTTTGTCTATATGTCAAAAGTTATTCCTGATTAGTTTTTCGAATTATTTTATTGAGGCGTTAAGACCCTTTGGAGACCCCACAGTTTAAATATTAAGTATAATAAATACGTCGTGAATAGTGGGCGTTACAGACGAACGTTCACCTAATTTGACCCAGTCAATGGGATATTTTAGCGCGCCAATCAATGGTCTCGTCTACACTGTTATGCACATGATTCTATATTCAAAATGATTATATCAAGTGAAACATTTACTGTAATCAAGAAAGAAGAAAAGCTACAAATTTTAAGACAAATACTGGCATGAAGGGCAAAACTACTGACCAGTAAATGTCAATCCTTTAAAATCATAATTCAACTGAAATTTATAGTCTAAGACTTCATGTTAAAATCTAAAACGATAACGCCAGTGATAGTCTTATTATCATCTGGAACCAAGAATTCATATTTGTGAGATACTCAAGGGACATTTACAGTAAATGCGCAAACTGTGCCAATCGAATTTGATCTGTATTTAATAGGTCATTATATTGTGTAAAGACAAAAAAAAGTTTGGTCCAGTGCTACTATTGTTATTATACAGAAAAAAAAAAAAAAAAAACAAAAACAAAAAAAAAACAAAACAAAACAAAACAAAAATCCAAATTGTAAATAATTAAAGGGCATAACTATCCGGTAAATTCCAAAAGCCGTCAAAATCGAACCTGACCTGTAGCGCAAAGCCAGTTAGATTTTATTCAATTTCAAAACATAACTCTATAAAGTGTGTCGGTAATGTTATCGTGAGATTAAAAGTACGACAAACACTAAGAAAGTGATATATTTATTTCCACCAAGATTTGGAAGATAGTATTCCATAAGTTGAATTATTACGGTCAAGACAGGAAAGCATCTCCTTTTATGAATTGATCGATCATCCGTTCGACTAAAAAAAACCATGAAATCGTAAATTCTGTTTATTTATAATTTTGTTTTTAAAACTAAAAAAAAAAATTATTCGTATTAATACTACATTAAAGCTTTAACTGATTTCCCCCTGAATGTTCTTAAATGTATTCACCTGGTCGGGTTGGTCGGGTTGTTGTCTTTTTGACGCATTCCCCGTTTCCATTCTCAATTTTACAATAACTGTCTGCAAAACTGAGCTTTTTAAATACAAAAATCATGATTAAATTAAAAGGAATTGCCGCAGACATGGAAAGCATAAGGAAATGATGATTTATATTCTATGATAGATTAAAATTATGTCATGAAAGAATATTTTGCGCAATAAGTGACTCTATCAAGTCAAGACCATGATGGCAACTCTCACTCATTGTTTGAAGAGACTATCCAATCATATATACATTACATTGTTTTAGTTTTAGAATATACTTTGCAATTGAATATTCTTGTAATATTCTGTTTTTTATTACTTTATTTGAATGATCAAATAAATGTATTCTAATTTACTAGCTGAAATGTAAAGTTTGAGAATGCTGTTCCTTAATAATGGCATATATCTCCTACTAATCCCTATTTTGACGAAAATCCTTATAATTTCACCGTTTTATTAACTTCTCAATGAGTGAAGTAGGACACTTTTTCAAAGGGTTACCAACATGGAACGTGTGCGTCTGTATAACGGAGGTGCAACACATAAAGTATAATTAAAAACAAAGCATCTTCGTCATTATGTTACAAGAGAGAAAAAAATTACACACAATGAAAATGAGAAGAAAAACACTAACTGCTAAAGTCTTACAGTATTCAGCCAAATTCAGCCAAAAATATATAACATATAAGGTACGTGTTAAATTGTACGCATACAAGAGGCTACTGAATATTCACATGGTATGATAAGTGTTTTCCAACACATGTATATATTTATAAACTTAACCTGTTTTAGTACAGAACAATATTTTCCATGCTAGCGAACAGACGTAATAGGCATATAATCATATTTGGTCTTAAAATGTATTCCTTTTTTAACACCAAATTGAAAATCTATATGATAAGTCAATGGAAAAGAGCCATTTTTTTTAATCCTCTGAAATTTAAAAGTTCCTTAATATAGTAATGATAACTTAAAGTTAGAAGGACGTCAATGGTAAAACAAACTCGGATCTTGGGTCAAATAAAAGCAACAGACAAATCTTATAAAAAATACATACGAACCTAAAGGGAGGAAAAAGACGCCAACCAAGTACTACAATTATTATAAACACAAATTTTGTCTGAAACTATAACTCGTTTTTATAAAATGAAAATAAGAAGTTATAAATGTCATGCGTCCGCAGCGGTTTCGTGGATTGACATTGACCAGGAACGCTCAAACCTAAGCATTTGAAAGTCAATGATGTATTTATAATCTGAATTTCTAGGAGATTTATAACAAATAGGTACATTATTGAAAATTAAAAGATAAAGTCAATACTTTAGTTATCATTGCTAAACAGTAAAAATATTTGAAAATGATAAAATATATTAGGCTTCCGTATTGCAAGGCAGCATTAAGGTATAACTTCAATCAATCTTTATATTTTTTCTTGTTCAATGTAAAAACGTATCCATTACATGAAGTATCGTATCCGTATGGTACTGACTTTCACAAATATATGTACCAATCACTCTCTGGCTCAAATCAAATTAAAACGGGTGTAAAACCATTTGGTAATGTCGTATGTCGTATGTAAATATGTTATTCAATAAATATTGGAAATTTTGTGCCTGACGTAAAACATTTTTGTCCCCTTTTAGTATTTTTGTCATAAGTAAGAAATGTTGCTAAAATATTTCGCCGGATGAAATTCGCACAGTCAAATTCATATTTAGTATAATTGAAACATTATTTTCAATTGTTCGCTGATGTTTAATTCAATTTATGCTTCGAAAAAGTAACTTATTATTCAAAGATTTAATAAGTTGTATTCAAACAGTTTTTGACATAAATCTATTGGGAAGAAATTATAAGAACAACTAGATTATGAAAACATTTTAATAAAATCTTAAACACTTTAATGGATTAAAAATTCTGATATTTTATGGAAAGAAGGTATCGGTTATGACACTTTATTAAAATTTTCATAGTTTTTCATAAACGAACCATAACTATGTATGTAACAACTCTTAGAATGTATATTTAGGAGATAACTGCATTGTTTTCTAAACTTGGCATATCGGATCTTAGTAAACGGATATTTGCGACAGTGGAACCAAGTTTTATGCCAGGTCTACAATATAATACTGTCAATTCCATTCTAATTCAAAATGTACAAAAAATTGCATTTCAATCCTTATTTTGTAAAATTCAGTGAACCACTGTGTCGTCACAGCCACCTAAACTGACGCCAAAAATACGCTTCCGATGTCAAAATTACACATTAGACACTATGTTGGATTTGTGTACAATTCAGAATTAAATAAAATTTGAATTGTGACTTTTCTGTTTAGTAGTGAACAAATTGCAATTCAATAAATATCGGAATTTGAAATGCCGGATTCCTTTCGATTGAGTGTTTTAGGCTGGTCGGTATCCAATCAGAATCGATACAAAATAATGGAATAAAAATTATTTTTTGTCTTAAGATATAAAACTTTGTGCATTTTTAAAGTGTCATAAGAAATTTAAAGCAAATAAAAGATTTGAAAACGTATACTGAAGATTTTTAAGTTAAAACAGATAAACAGAAGAGCTTCAAAAAATTTAATCATGAAATGATCATTCTGAAGTCAATTTACATTAAAAGTATAAACAAATATAAATACCATAAGATGCAAACTTCGCATGTTGCAGCACATTTTTTCATATATCATATAATATCAACACAACTTTACAGTCTAACTGAAATGTTAATGTCAAGTGTTCACATTTCTACGAAAAAGAAATTCTATATTAAACAATTGTTGTTACGGTAATTTGCTAGACGGATTTTCCTGCGTGATCTTGCGGAATAACAGGTTATTCGAGACAGATTGTTGTACCTTCCAAATCTTCTTATCGCCTTCATTACATAATTTTTATATCGTAAGAAGTCACAATTACAATTAAGTGGATTACCTGTTAAATCAACAATAATCGGAACAGAACCGGTGAGATAATCATGCATGTTCAGTGGAATGGCTGTGACGGAATTGTACGATAGATCAGCCACCAGCGGTTGCGGTCGAGCATTCATCCCTTTGAAGGGTGCTCCCAAGAAATCAAACCTCGCGATTTTATTATTAGACATATCTAACAATGTAAGTTGTGGGAAAGATTTCCTCCAATCAATTAACTCTTGTGGCACTCTCCTGTATCCATTGTCAGCAATAAGAAAAGTTTGAAGTTTGGGGTATTCGGAATAAGCAGTCATCAGTCGCAAATACAGTTTACTGCGAGTTCTGCTAAGACTTTGATCAATGTAATTTAACTCTGAATAATAACATCTATACCTTTTTTGCTTTGCCTTTTTAATCAATTCATCGGACGATGACATCAATAGCGCTTCGTGTCGTTTACTCAAATGTTGATCTTTTATATTCGGAAACATGTATGATATATTACGCCTAACTGCACTACGTAAAGTTTGTTGACCACAGTCATATTCCTGGGTCACTGGTTTGTATATGATATCAAATATACTATCCAGATTAGAAACAATGACGCAATTATCCACAGATAACACTTGTAATTCATCTTTCAGATTTGTCGGGGTGTTAAACTCCGAAGCAAATCCTTCCAGTATACATCCTTCCACATTAAGTTTAATCAGTCCCGTAGCTTTCATTGGCCATGGAAGATAGACTCGTCCATTAGAACTACAGGTTACATCTAAGGAAACCTTGACTGCATTCCCTAGCTCAGATGACCATTGTCTAAAGTCAATAAAATCTAAGCGAGTGTCTACATACATCTTACATTCTCTGATGCTCTTAGCTCTATTCTCTGGACAGTTCCTATCAAAGTAACTCCGAGACTGACATATGACTGCAATTATTAGATTAATTCCTACTAGTATTCCAAAAATATGTCTGAACAACATTTTCGCAGTTTCAATATAACTCTACGAACGTTAACTTCAACTGTATTTATATTCACTAAAACATTTCCTACGTCATTAATTTTAAAAAGTAGGATTACCTTCGGGCATAATAGGAAAGAATGACTGAACGTGTAGTGTGGTTCGTATGAATGATTTGTTGTTAATAATGACGATACGAATATTATTTATGTTTTTTTTGTACAAATGGGAAAGGACATTATTTCATGAATTTATTAATTTATTTAGACAATATTGCAAATATAAAAAAAAATAATACATTGAAGTAAGGAAACGAAATAATATAATATGTCCATTCTAAATTATCCTGAACCCCCCCCCCCCCCCCCCCCCTCTCCCCCATTCATTGGAACTACCCATGAGGACACGGAACTGTGGGTTCTCCTTCTGAATTAATTTGTATGTACAGTTTTCGTCGTATCCATCTACCATATGTCTATGCAATCTTCAGTAGCGAATGTTTGATAAATAATAAGAATGACATAAATTGTGTAATAATGGTAAAAGGGAGGCTTAGGATAGTGATTAAGTATTATACGAAACTAAACTAGTAAAATATGGGGAAAGACAATCAATTGTTGTTGAAGTTGAAAATCAATATACTAGTACCCTTATTCTACACTTTATGTCAACTCCATTTAAAATCAATACAATTTATTTCGTAATAAATTGATGACCATACTACATCTTCTTATTTTTAGATTGATTGAATATTCAAACTTGGAAAAATAGACCGGATTCTAATACGAATGTCAGTATATACCAAATTGCATATATGTGATTAATAACATACAAGGAGGTGTTTATGACTTTTTATATTTTTAACACACGTCGTTAATTGTCATAAACAGTGAATGATCGCCACAAGGTGCATCAACAACATCTCTCTTTAACTAAAAGAAGACAAAATGTCCCAACCTTTTACCTCAACGATGTCACAAGACAAAAGTACAACTGATTTCTCAGGCCATTATAAACATCCCTCAGCTCGGTTTCATTAATCAGCATATTAAATGTAGGGGAATACCTTAAAATAAATTGTGTCAACAATTTATGCTATTCAATTAATACACGACTATTGCGGTTGAAGGTGAATGAGTTGTAACTTAACCTTTTCTTCCTTCGGAAATGGTACACAATTTGATGATAAATGCAATGAAAGGAACTTTCATATAGCCAAATAATAAGTACTTAATACACATGGAATACAATAGAATTTGTACCAACTTAAAAAATTGTTTGGCGTCTCGCAACAGATGCTAGTTAATCAAATAAGCAAAGATGTGGGGTATACGAGACAGTAACCCAAAGCATTACGAAAAGGACACACCTTGAGCTCATCACACGGCCATGAACATTTGACATTTGTTTACACTCTACAATATGTCGAGCTGTAAATCCCCTTGAGTATTCATGATTTGTAAGTTATTTTAACAGGGGAAATCTACCATCAAAACCAATGTCCTGTAAGGAAAAAAAAAAATCCCCACTGACATATGAAAGAAGAAACCATCTTGACATATAAAAGACCGCATCTATTGACGGTGTTCCAAACATTGCAAAGGTACATCAACATTGAGAGCGTGTAATTTACTCCATCGAAAGTACGAAAAGTCGAAAGTACGAACAGTTATATAAGAAATACTAAAAGTAAGAATAGAAAAGTCATTCATAAAATTAGGTGTGAGAAATACTAATATCAACTTCAAGAAAAAATCAAGAACACTTTTCATATTTACTTTAACAAGAGTTATTGTATATATTGAATTATTTCGTTTGTATATTGTTTTAATAGGTGTTTTATGTCTGTCCTAATTTAAGTAATATATAGCGATACAAAATAAAGTAGGAACCAATTTGTAATAGGAGGGCTACAATATTAAGAATAACGTCAAGTTCTTCAACAAGATATACTTTATTTACTTAATGTAGATACCAATATCAGGCAAAAGATTTACAAAAAATGTTAATAGAAATATAAAGTGAAACCTCACATTTTTGTTAAAGTAGAACTATTGGGTAATTCGTCCTAACATAAGAGTTCAACCAGAGGTCTTTTCAATTATTCGTTTTTCAGGATAATTATCAAGAAACAAGTAACCGTTCAAAAAGTGAAATAACAAAAATACCGAACTCAAAGGAAATATCAAAACAGAAAGTCCCTTATCAAATGGCAAAATCAAAAGCTCAAACAAATCAAACGAACTTAGTTTAAACTGGACATCTGCAAGCGTCAAATTAAACTCAATGTCCCGACGCTTTACTGGTAATCTATATTACACAATGAAAATAACACTTTATCATTTTCGTGCGTCCGAAGCGCTTTTCTTGATTTACCTTAATTAGGATGACCCAAACCAACACAATTTAGGGTCAGGGATGTATAAATTCGTAGAAACGTTAGAATTTATACAAACAGAGACCCATTAAAATACCCAAATTGACCCATAGTCAATTTTGCATTCGAGGTTGGAACATTAGTTTCTTAAAATAAAAATTATTTATTCATCAACATGGAGTTTTATAAGAAATTGTTATAAATCATGTCATTAATTGAGTAATTAGTTGATGATACTCTCTGTAACAGTACACCATCAGTAGTATCGACCAAGTGGTAGTCAATAAAAAAATAAATAAAAAACACTCCTTATAAATCCCACTTTATATCAGCTTCTAGCAAGTGTACTTATACAATCTGATCTATTCTTCTGACTGATGCACTTACTTCCACTAAAGAAATATCTAATTCAATATTGGATATAAAATATGAAATTATCAATATAAAAATAAGATGTAATAGGATTGCGAATAAGACAATCATTGTCCTTCTTTAGTCATAAATATATAAAAATCATTGTTACGGAAATGAGAAGACATGCTAAAGATTATATTTCCTGGTTTGATTAACTTTGTTCCTTAAGGAAATAACATATATCATTAAAAGGACTTAATTCCTATGTTCTGATGAGGCTAACTTTTAAGCGTTACCGAAAATTAACACACATATTACTATTATTGGGTTAATTAGGCTAGCCATAAAACCAGGTTCAACCCACCATTATTTCTTAAAATGTCCTGTACCAAGTCAGGAATATGGCAGTTGATATCAAACAGTTCGTTTCTATGTATGTTGGCGTTTGTTTATGTTGCAATTCAGTGTTCCTGTTGTTCCTTTGTTTTCCTCTTATAGTTAATGTGTTTCCCTCGGTTTTAATTTGTAACCCGGATTTGTTTTCTCTCAACCGATTTATGACTTTTGATCACCGGTATACTACTGTTGCCTTTATTTACAGATACTGCATTATTTGTCAAAAAATATAAAATTAGAGATTAGGTATTACCCTACCTTCTATTGCAACGTCGTGAACAGAACAAAAAATATTGAAAAGAGATATATTTGAACTTTGGAAAGTTCTCATATCTTTTATCAGCAATGGATACATGCGTCATTTACTAAAGATGTCAGTAAAACGGTTTTTTTCTTCTGATGGTCGACTTTAAAAATACTTACTGGCCTTCAAAAATTCTGCAGATTATTAAGATATTTTGTTACGAATCTTCCTGAAACCAGTGACGAGTGTTGTTCTGATTCATTGGTTTTCTTGAGAGGCAATATTCAACCAACAGCTATGGCTACCATTGCTAGCTTTTTAAAGTAACCAGTTTGGCTGTTTCAGATCTAAAACACGTAGATCAAAATAAAACGTTACATCAAATGCCTTGTGTAGGGAGAGTGTCATTCTCTCTGCAAGTTAAAGGACCTATTCAACAACTGAAGAGGGAATTGTGGGTGGCCTGTTTAAGTTTCTGCCTATATCAATCATATTCCCACTTTCTTCATCCTGGACAACATACTTATTGAATTTATTTTTTATTTTTCTTGATCTAAAAATGCATGCAATCTTTGCAACTGGACCGTAAATTAGACAAGCTATGTTCTGCAAACTGCCATTGGAAAATTAGAGAAACTTTAGTGGCAGGTAAGACGACTTTTTGCATTCGACTTTAACGTCCAGGAAATTTTGAATAAATTCTTTTTCTTTTTGTCATTGAGAAGGTGATGAATAAATTATGCTTCATATGACTGCAAAAAGAAGTATGTCATTAGGGGCACAGGATTAGTACCCGTTGGATTACTGACTGATGAAATGCAAATTCATCAATTTAAAAAAGAAATATGCTGTCCATCAAACAAAAAGTCTAGCCTTTTGATTATATCATCCTCGATGTATTTGTTTTTGAGATCAATGCGGTTCTTCAAAAAGTAAGTTTATCATGTAATAAAACAAGGAATTTGTATCTATGATTTGCAATTTTTGTAGAATATGCACTATTTAATGTGAAAATGAAGTCGATCTTTCAATTGTGCATTGACAATAATAGTATTCGGCGTAGCAAAGGGTGTCGATATTACTGGAAAATTTTAATGGTTGTGATTGAACATGAACACTAAAAGTTCCATTTATTATGACCTATGTTGATAAAGCACTGAAATATCTTCCTCTGTATGAGGAATGTTTATGTCTATTGATTACCATTACTTATGTGATATCACGTTGCAGATAAAAGGTATTATTTCTCAAAATAAGTAAAAACTGAACACAATCTATTGACAGTACACAACAAAGATAAAAGGTCCTCCTAAACTTTATTTTAAACAAAAAGATAATTGCAGAAAGTCTATTGAACATTTATCATAATTAACAACAAAAACACTTAAAACAGATTCATGCTTTGTATAATTTTGAATATCAAGTTCATTACTTGGCATTGCATTTCATCGTACTTCTTTTATACTTGATTTTGAATGAAGGGTCGGGTTTAAGATATCAGTGCACGTGTTTTGGGTTCCATCTCTTAGCTGAAAACTGCAAAAGTAGGTTTCATTATGGATTGATTTAAAAACTGGAATGTCGTAATGCAGACATACACCACTTTTCTGACAAGCATATAAGTTAACACGTCTCTCAGGGTTAAAAGGTCTCAAGTAAACAGTCCATCAAAAATAAGATGGACATCACATATTTAAAAGATGTACTG